ATTATAATAATAATATATATATTCTCATTTTTTACATGAGGGACGCCAGTTTACAGGCATCATCAATTCGATAATTTACACATAATATTAATAAGCATATTTAGTAAAGATAATATAATAAAGAACATTTTTTTCCCTAGCTATGTAGGGTACACCAATTGTATAGGCATGCATAAATATTGTCTTAATAATAATAATATATTCCTTCCTGTTTATGCAGGAACATACCTATTGTACAGGCATGGATAAGTTATTATATAAATTACACATAATTTGATGTATAATGGACTTGCAGTTTGGTTGTTCTTTCTGGCATTAGAGTCAGTCGGAACAGTCTTCTATAAAGTCTGTTTGTGTAGCACATAAAGAGATATAGAAATATTGTCTTCGCATTAACACGCATTATGCACCATCTTATATTGTGTGTAAATAAGACTGTGTGCAATTCATTTCGGACTGATGCATATTCATTGCTTGAATATACACTTTGTCAACTGGGAGCCGATTTGTGTTCGACCACTGCGCTACCGATATTTGGATTCTGGATAACCTCAGTAGTGAGATTGCCACCACAATTGCGTGATACACTTTGTTAAGTAGAACAATGAATCTTTCAGTATCTACAACAATTTTGGTTTCAGGAAGGATGTATTTTGAACAGTTTGCTTTTACTGTGGATTTCGGTCTGTAGATCACGGCCGTGTATCCTTTCTGAAAGTAATTTGGGCAGTAGATACAAAACATACTGTTCCGTTGAAGTTACCACAAAATGCAGCTGTATGAATGCCGCGATGTTGTGGGAAAACTCAGGCGAAATGACTTCTAACCAACCTGAATGGGAACAGAATACACTGTAGCTGCAGAAGAACTCTCTGCACAGCCTTCATAAGTCATAGCCATTGCAGTTTTAAACGCTACTAGAACTTATGTAGAAGATTAGCAAACACCACCGAATTCAGAAGCAAAAGATAACTTTAAAGAAGAGTGAGATATATTCTTTAGCAAGAGAACAGACAAAACAACTGTAAGATATATCGCCCCGAAAAGGAAAAATGCAGATGTCCACGTGAGAAACAGGAATTTCCAGCAGGCCAAGTTTCTTCAACAGGTCGGTCTTTTTCCACAAGGCAGAAGAATTAACAGCATTAAATCTCAGGGCCGGTTTCAACAACGAACTTAATGAAGACGGGCTATTCCCCTTAACAGCAGTAGACACTGTCACATACATTCTTCACAGATTAAGCCAAAAAGGCTGATCCTAAGAAAATCACCTGACGCTTCTTTTCATATAAGAAGTAAACTCAAAATAATAATAATCTACTTTATTCCAAAAACAGCACTTGTAATAAAGAATTCAATTTTCAGTATTGGGATGGGCGCAGATCTCATAGGTGCTCACGCGCCACGATATGCACGCTCAGCTATATACCTAGTAGTTCACACTCCGTCAAACTGTTATTAAGTATACGGCCTTGTGACACTCAGGAGAACCTAATTGTCACGAGATTAAAGAAGTAAAAGTTGGAAGCTTGATGGAACCCAAAGCTCTAAGGGTGGAGTATGGGGGCTCAAAATAGAACCAAAAATGTGCAGAACTGGCCCCCACTGTCTGCTGGAAAAATGGACCAAGTTTAGTAGTTTGGTTGACTGTGAGAGCCTTGTGTTATCACTGCCGTAGCTTACGTATGAAATCGGTGACAGTGAGGTTGACTCGTACCGACAAAATACAAGGACCAGGCAATAGATCGTTTGGTGAGAAAATCGAGAGGTATTTATGGATTTTTAAGTTCATTACTGTTAGCATAGAAGCAACCTCTTCTGATTGGTTGTTTTCTTACCAAACGTTATTCTGTTATCTCTTTGCGGCAGTTTTCAGAAAATCAAGCCATATATATATATTTCCACACGTCAACTCCACCTTGATTGGCTGGTGATTTTCCCAAGGTTAAGCTTTGTCACTGCTTTTCTCATGGCTCTGATTCGGGACGTGAACATTGAGGTAAACTGTTGTCTACAATTTCGGCTTGCAGTCAGATCTCACCACAAACTTAATAAACTTCACAGCCCACTGTGCAAACTGGCTGCGCCACAAGGGCAGAAGAGTATTCATCTGCCCTTAGGACAGCTGGACTTTGCGTGGCTTGGATGTCCCACATGAATGTGGATGGCAGGAATTTTTACTATGAAAGCTAAAATGCGATGGATGAACGCCGGTTTCATTGCAGTATTTTCTAGTTCTGGTAGAACAGCAGATCTCACTCATGGGCGAATATTCGGTGGGTTAACACTAGTGTTAGTACCTTCTAGATGGTGATTGCGCCACCCCATCTTTTAGCCCGTAAAACCTAGCTCACAACGGAATGAAAAATACTCAAGAAGCTGCCTTCTTCTAGGACCCTCAAGAATTAGAATCCCCACGGATATTATAATAATACAAAATGATATGGAAAAGGCTGTAGCGCATTACTTCTACATGGTCTTCACACATGAGTCACCATCAACCAAAGCGTCATCCCCGTCCTCTCCGCAAGAAAGGGATGCATGTTCTGATGTCTCATTTAAACCCCCAGGAAAACTGAGCACGTGGAAGTTTATCAGGTAGTATGATCTTTACACTTAACTTCTCAGAGACGAAGCAGCTCACACCTCTGACTGACGGACTACTGCCTTCATATTATCCCATTCTCATAAGGTATTACTACATCAGTGCAACAATACAATAGTGACCCTCATCCAAGAAAGAGAGTCTAGTCTTTCTTTAAAAATGCAGACCTATGAGTCACACCAGCAGCGTGTTCAAGATAACTGAGCAAATGACCAAAAAAGTTAACACTGCCTATCTGGGAAACTACAACTTATTATTCAACTCGCGTTGTGTTTTCGGACAAAGACTCCAGTCTTCGACAAGCTTACTCACAGCACAGAGAGAGTTAGGTGAGGTTCGAGAATAACAAGAAACCCATTGATATCGTCTTTATTACATTTCAATAAAGCTTTCCGACTCACACAAGACTGTTCATGAGATGAAATAATTTTTGTATTAGGTGTGACCTGACCGTCTGGATTAAACAATTCTTCGTTGGCTAGAGGCAGAGTCAGAGAAAACCGGGAACTCTTTTCCTGGGCAAAAGTACTCATGGGCGTATACCTTCTTATTTCTCGTGTTAATCAAAGAATCATATGAGGTGGTAATATCCTCTACGAACCTTTGAGCAGATGGCCTAAATATCTGGAAAAAGCTTAAGCATGGTAATGAAATCCTAACATTTGAAACAAACATCAATCATCTATTATATTGGCTAGAAGAGTGTTTTTTCCGAGACAGGGTAGTAAAGTGCACAACCACGTGTATCTATGATGCAGGTATTAACTCATTCAACATATAACTAATACCTTTCGCTACTTTTCTGACACACACGGATATAAGTATCAACGTAAGAACTGCGGTGCACTATGGTACAGTAGCGAACTGTGGCTTCAGATCAGCTTTACTGAAAGCTTCCGTGGAATATTTGTTACAATGCATACATCCCTGGCAGGGTCAAGGCTAGAAAACTGCATCCACAGAGTCAGCCTTCTGTCTGGAAGGGGGCCATTTCAATTAAGGAGTTCAAGGATAAGCCACATTTAAGATTACTAACATGACCACTAAGTCACACTAGAGATGATTTCGTCACAACACTGACATAGCAGATTCTCAGTTATTATGTTCATAATTCTGTACCCGGTTTATCTTCTCCTTTAATTTCCACAAGGTCGCAACACCTCACAGAACATAAAGGCAGAGTTTAGGAGCCAAACAGAAGTCATACTGATGTTGAGTGCAAGTGTGGCTTGTGTTGTTGACTGTACCATGTAAGCAGTGTAGTATATATGCTTTTATGGAGTGAATATCCAATAGCAGAGCGACGGACTGATCTGTGAAGAGGGGAAAAGAAAGATCCTTTTTAAACGGCATCGAAGGTATGAAGGAGAGATAGAATAATCTCGATAAGAAGAACATGCAAAGACCATGCATTTCACTGGGACGATACATCACTTTGTCGAATAAGCATTTCTTGTGCTAAGTAATAGTATGTTTCCCGGTTACGTTTATTCCTTCACAGATATCCAAGGTCTTCCATCCTCATTAAAAAATCGGAATCTCAGACTATGTTTACTTTCTTCGTGTTCCAGGCAGTGAAGTTCCTAACGAACATTTAACACGCGACAGTGGCTGACGTTCAGATAGTTTCCCCAGTGTATCGGAGCTGGGAGACAACGGTCGGAGTCTCAAAGACGCCTAATGTTAATTCAACTTAGGGTTTTCTTTGGAAGCGACAGTAGTGGCCGCCAGAAACCTAGCAGAATAAATGGAAACTAGAAGGTTCAGTTTTAACTTTTGATAGCTAAATACTGTTTTTAAGTACAACACTGGAAAAATTTACATTTGCTTCTCTCATTCTTCATATTCCAGTAGACAGTATCTACATATTGTATGAATTTTAACTCCTCAGAAAGCGTTATGCAGTCCATTCCCAAACAAAGCATTGGCCAGCGAAAATGTTGAAATATATTACCACTGTGAGCTAGATTCAAGCCACAGTATTCCTGGTATACAACCATCACCAGTCTTGTAACCACAAGACTCTCTGGCCTTCACCAAAGAAGTTATCATACATTTAACTCACAGGCTATTTAAAATGACATTTGAGGAAACATGAAAATACAAGTGACTCACGAAGCAGTGGAAAATATATTTAGCCTGACTGACTCACTGACGACAAATGCAGCTTAGTTACAAGATTACTTCTGCCGAACTGCATTTTTAAACCTAGTCATGTCAGCTTCTGCTAGAACTCTCGTTTGTCTTTAAATTGTAGATTTTAAGTGTTTATATTACTCACCACTGAAATTTGACGTTTAACCTGACCAGTTAATCCTAAAATAAGCTTATTCTTAACCTTAACCCTAGATACAATCTAATTTCAACCCTTTCCCATGACAGATGAGTAAATATGATCAGAAGGAAACCGTGTAGGCAGAACTAGTGTCCACTGACATGATCAGCAACTCTAGGGTTCCAGCCTTATTTTGAAAGTCAATTGTATTCGCCAATCTTTGATTTAACTACGAACACACACAGGTAGGTTTGCGGTAAAATAATTGAATGATTACGCTGAATCATTTTTGTTTATATATGGTGAATGCAATCCTGACGACCTTAACCATCCGAGTGACGTTTTTGAAAATTTCGGCTATGAGGTGGTTGCTTGTTTTTACCCTCTTGTTCTCAGTCATTAGTGCTAATCCTGGGTATAAACAGTGGTCTGATCTCCAGCCATCAGTGTCATTAAGTCACCTGCTTGAACAACAAAGTTTGAAAGATGGTGTGTTTAGCTCAGAAAATCTTGAGATGTTCACCAATATTGGTGCTGCTTGGAAAATATTTAAGGCACGGTTCAATCGGGTTTACAAAAACATCCAAGAAGAAGCGAAACGATTTTTGATCTTTGGGGCAAACTTCATCGAAATGATGGAGCACAATCGGGCTCACCGGGAAGGTAAAGTATCATATGAAATGGGTGTTAACGAGTTTAGTGATAAGGTAAGTTGAATTAATGTGATGACAACACCTGCAGACTGAACATGAGCTTAGAAAACTAAGGGGCTACAAACCTCTAAAGGGACCGTCAAAACCAGAAGGCTCTACATATATTCGTTCTGAGCACACTATGCTGCCAAATAAAGTTGATTGGAGGAAAAAAGGAGCTGTAACGCCTATCAAAAACCAGGGCAATTGTGGTTCCTGCTGGGCATTCTCCTCAACTGGTGCCATTGAAGGTCAACACTACCGCAAGACTAAGAAATTAGTTAGTTTGTCTGAACAGCAATTGGTTGACTGTAGTGGTCATTATGGGAATAATGGTTGTAACGGTGGTCTTATGAATTTTGCGTTTACTTATGTTAAAGATAATGAAGGCATTGATTCAGAAGTTAGCTATCCGTACACATCAGGTGCAACTGGGGAAGAGAACGCTAGATGTTTATTCAACGCATCGAATATTGCAGCTCAAGTCACAGGATTCATAAATATAAGTCCAGGTAATGAATCTGCATTGATGGATGCTGTCGCTACCAAAGGACCCGTATCAGTCGCCATTAATGCTGGTCTCCCTAGTTTCCCAAGATATAAGTCAGGTATGTGACATCTTTGCCTTACCGATAACTTACTTCTCCGTGCGGTTTGTAGTTGTGTACAGGTTAATTTACACTTGAATTTTACTTAGTAAGAGGTGGTGAAGACAATAACTATCTGTCTTCATTCAAAGCAAGTTCGTGCCTGTCATTAACAAAGCTTTATTATCAGAATAATACTGGCGGTTATCTACTAAGAACCGGAAATATTGAACTGCCGTGGAGCCTACTTGTCGCGGTATTAATAGATCAAAAAAGAGCATATTATGCTCGAGTAATATGTTTTAAGCAGTTTGAAATTAACTGAATTCGCTCGAGGTAGTTTAAATAGGGATGACTGTTTGATGTTTAGGTCATCAGCGGCTTGCCCAGGAACATAAGTCAGTTCAGGGTGATTTGTAAACTAATTTGATCGTGTAACTAATCTTTTTTCATGTTTCCTTGCTGACGGACATTATTTGCCTCACAAATCGTTTAACTGATATGTAATAACTGACGAGATCACTTACGTTGCCTTGACAGTTATTACAGAAACTGTTTGTCTACCTTATAGCTTAATTTATTTAGGATTTGGTATAAACCTGCTAGTAAAAGAGAAACAAGCTTTAGGCTTAATTTTCATTTTTCATAACGTCCAATATATATATATATATATATATATATATATATAAGATTAAGTATTCTGGATTGTTCATATATGTAAAAAATGACTGATCTGTGTAAGTTCGGACAAGAAGAGGATTTCAGCCAACATTATCATGGCAATCAGAAACGGGCTCTTTGGAAACAGAATACATAGAGCGCAAAACTGAAGATCTTATCCCCATAATCTGATGTACTGTTACATAATATCCACCGACTACCTAGGTGATTTTCGATTTACGCATTAAATGTCTGTATACGAATCCCTAGCTATAGTGTGGTATACAGTTTGTATCAAAGTGAAATAGGTTTCTAATTTTGTAAATGTAATTGGTGGTAAATAAATTAAGAACGATGTTTAGTAGCTTGTCCATAAAAACTGAGAAACATTTAACTTCAAATCCGATATGTATGCAGAACACCAAAATCAGATGCTACATTCTGCTAAATTTAGAGGATTAAAAGACACCAAGTGAACTACGTACTGTATGTCCAATCTGTCTGTTCATTTTTCTGTTGAAATGACTTGTGAACAATATAGGTGAATGGTGCGAAGCTGTTGCTCCAATTTATCATGGATATTCACCTGTTAAAAGCCTAATAAAAATTGTCAAAGATTAATATTCATCGGTCATTAGTTTCTCGTCTCATGCCATACAACCTTATTTTTTGAAAGCATTGTTCTAAGTGAGTATGCCGTAATTTTTTTATGGTCATTGATACCTGTTTCTTTTCACTGTATGGACCTATTGTTCATGTTTAATATTTAATTAGTAAACAAGTATTAATTAATATATGTATAAAACTTGGGCACTGTGGTAGTAAGTAACTCCATATTAGTTTGTTTATTAGATATATCACACAGTGACAATAATACTGTTTCACTGTGTTATATATCTAATAAACAAACTAATATGGAAACAAGTATTAACTCTATGAAAACTGCGGTTACACTTTTTCCTGTGGAAAAATCCTGAGTTGGTGGTTATTCCTCATTTTCTTAACCCAGGCATTTACTCAGACCCTGAGTGTTCAGGCGGAGAAGATAGTCTTGATCATGGCGTTCTCGTGGTCGGTTACGGAGAGGAGAATGGTCAACCTTACTGGCTAGTGAAGAATAGTTGGGGACCAGAATGGGGTGAAAGTGGATATATTAAAATACTGAGGAATAAGTCTAATATGTGCGGTATCGCTACGGCGGCCTCCTATCCTCTCGTATAATTGCTTTCCAGTAATATCTAAAACTTGCGGAATCTTATGCATCAAACAAATTATTTTATTGAATCTCACTTTTCTAAAATTTTAAAATGAGTTTTTGTATATAATCAAACATTTCTCAGTCGTAATTCACCTTTATTTATTTTTACTGTTAATTTTATCCATATCATGCAATGATACTTTTCCAATCAATAAATATGATTATGACCAGCTATTCTGAGATTTTGTACAACTCTAGAGGAATCGCATAGCAGATTCGGATAAACAGTTAACCATATTTCGCTTCCGCATATTAGTCAATTTTAAATAATACATATAGTGTGTAAGGCTTATTAAATTATGTACGTTAGTACTGAAATGGATTCTTTAGTTGTCTTTCCTGAAGACAGGTAGTGAGAAAGATGGTGGCGTAAAGGATGTTAATCATTAAAGTTATGCAGAAAAGTCTCAGCTTGCATAAACAGTCAAGTGAAGAATTTTCTTCAAAATCAGTAGAACTTGAGACGATTAAGACAGAAAAGAGTAACTATAGTAGATAACACTTGATACATTCCCTGTAACTGAGTCATAAAATCAAAAGTCATAGACCTGAATACCTTAATTCGATTTTCTGTCTGTCTGTTTTCAACATAGAACCTTGCACAGATGTGCAGCAGTTCAAGTCGCCGCACAACGTATAGCACACAAGGGAAGAGAAGAAATGCAAAATAAAGACGAAAAGAATAGTAATATCAAAAAACTATAGTTTTATTGAAGATTATAAGTCACAAGGAGTGGATGCATCTGCGCCATCATCGAGAATGATTTTGAGCCATATCACCGATTGTCTCCAGCCATCGGTTTTTACCGGCCCGACGACACCAACGAGGAAGTCTGCACCTTCCCACGTGGCTGGCTTAAACTAACTGATGTGGATTTCATTGACTGGTGCCATGTTTTGGTTTGACCACCGTTAGCTCTTTCCCAGCCTGACCCTATGTCAGCTAACATTGTCCGTCGAGGAAGGTGATGACTAGGCATACGTAACACATGTCCTAACCATCTCAGTCGATGGATGTATTGATCATGTGTTCACCCTTCGTCAGTTGTTGGAACACTGCCACAAGTATTGCAGGCCAATGGTCGTTTTGTCTCTTGATATTAGAGCTGCCTTCGATTCGTTGGACAGAACTGTGCTCTGGAACTGTCTGTTAGGGAGAGGTGTACCTGAGAAATTTGTTAACATCTTGAAGGCCTTATACAGAAACACCTCGGGTAGAGTGAGGGCATACAACCAACTATCATCACTGTTCCCAACCAACAGTGGGGTTAGACAGGGTTTCCCGACCTCTCCATTTCTCTTTAACCTTGCCATCGATGACATTCTGGAGTCAACTGTGAAGGATGTGCGTGAAGGTGGTGTAGATCTGCTACCTAGAGATAGACTTTTCGACCCCGAGTATGCAGACGATATCGTCTTACTGTGTGATATCATGCAGGCTGCCCAAATCGCACTTAATCAGTTGGCGATCAGTGTCTGTAAGTAAGGTATATGCTTTGCGCCGTCTAATTGCAAAGCATTATTACAAGATTGGTAGGAGCCTGTACCTACACTCACTCTTGCGGGTGAATCGCTTGAAGTTGTTGATAAGTTTGTATATCTGGGTAGTTGTTTGAGTGCTGGCGGAGGGGTGATGGATGAGATTTCCAACCGTATAATGAAGGCTAGGGTGGCATACATCAACTTCAGCCACCTCTAGCGCCGTCGTGATTTTAGTCTGGCTGTCAAAGGTCGAGTATACAATGCTTCGGTGCGGACTTTCTCGCCCTATGCCTGTGAAACCTGGCTTCTCCGAGCTGAGGATGTTCGGCGACTCTGCGTGTTTGGTTATCGTTTTCTCCGCAGGATTGCTTGCGTTCGACGGCATCATCGCGTGAGTAATTCTGAGGCTCGGCGGCGTGTGTTTAGACATAGTGGAGATCACCATTCATTGAGTGTCGTCATCTGGAAACACCGGCTCCGGTGGGTTGGACATGTGTTTCGAATGTCATCCCAGAGGCTTCCGTACAGGTCTCTGTTCGCTAGCCCTGGGACGGGATGGAAAAGGCGGAGAGGTGGCGAGTCCATGACGTGGCGTCGTGGGATGAAGGATGTATGTGCTAGATTAGCATTGGTTGGTGCGTGATGACTCCCTGGTTGGGGTCTGCGACATAGCTCGAATTGATGGCTCGAAACGTTATCGGATATGGCCAAGAATCGTAATCAATGGCGAACGTGTTGCAATTTCCTTCTTTCTTCCCTTCCCGATGATAGTTAACGATTGCTGTTTGAACTTGTTAACTATGACTGTTTTCCTTCCAGATGAAGTTCTTTATCCGTTCTCTACTTATATGTATTTTTTTTACTTTTGATCTATTCTGTTTTATTATTATTGTGTGGCGCATCTTTCTTGGTGTCATATTGTACCAAGCTTTTTCTGCGTTTAAATAAATAGATAAATAATCTCAGTCGATGTAGCTTCACAGCCTCATCGATTGATTTCCCCTCCCTACCTAGCGCTCGACGCCTAACCTCAGTATTGCTCAGCCTATTATACCACTTCACATGGGAGATAGAACGCAGGCACCCATGATCAAAGACAGCTAATCTTTTCATGTCTATCACTCTCAATGCCCAGGTACCACAGCCATAACGGAGGATGGAGCGGACTGATGAGCAGTACACACGTCCCTTGGTCGATAGCTGGATATCACGTCTACGCCAGAGACGGCGTAAACTGGCAAGCGTATGCCAAACGAGCCTTCTGTTTCCGTGCTGAGATTTCGTCAGCGATCAACCCATTGGGGCTGATGCTACTTCACAAAAAGTATAGTGGTCGACGTACTGTACCACTTCACACCCTATTTCAAAGCTATGAGTCAGCTTAGTCCAGTCCTGTAACATCATCTTACATTTGACAGCAGGAGCGAATCGCATGCCAAACATTCGTAGATTGCAGCTCGAGGTGTTGAGAAGACTGCACTTTGTCAGCTTCTTCACCTACAACTACTATATCATCTGCATATTCTAAGTCAACGAGATTATTCCCTGGTAACAAGTCAATCCCTGAGTCTGAAATCAGCAGTTAGGGTTAATTCCATGAGTACATCTATGATGAAATTGAATAGAAAAGGGGATAGTGGGCATTCCTGATGGACACCACTTGTTGTCACCACTTCAGATGACAACTTGCCGTAAGCTCTCACTTGGCTGCATGAGTTCGAGTAGAGTGCCTTGATCAGTGCATTGTATTTTCTCGGCATTCCCTTTACAGCCAAGCATCGCTATAGTACCTCTCGGTCGACAGAATCGGATGCCGCCTTTAGGTCAAGAAATATAATGATTGTTCGATGCCGGTAAGTCCCACGATCTGTCGAAGAGTGAAGGTATGATCATTACTCCCCCTTCTTGGTATAAAGCCTGCCTGGTTCTCTCGTGTTTGTTCCTCTTGTGGACCACTTCATCTACACATTATTATTGGGCTTAGAACTTTAGATACCATATTAGTCAAGCTAATCCCTCTGTGTTTATTACAGGAAGACTTGTCTCCCTCCTTGTATAATAATCCATGTCTTACACCAATCCGACGGGACTTCCTCTGATTCCCAGACGCTACCTAGTACCTCAGTTAACGCAGACAGTAAACTGTCTCCATCGTACTTGAATGCTTCTGGAGTTGTCCCATCAGGTCCTGCTGATTTGCCTCGTTTCAGACTATTGATAGCTTTAGTAACCTCAGTTAGAAACGGAGGGGCTGTGTCTATATTACCATTCAGGGAGGTGTTGGGTGTTCGGCAAGTTGAGTGTGCCTGTAGGCCAATTGAATTGCTCCTCCAAATGTTCTTTCCAGCGTTCCAGTCGTCTATCCTGGGAGCTAATTATGGTGCGAACTTTCTCAAAGATTGTTTCACTTATCGTTTGCCTTTTACCACCTGTTTCCCTGATAGGTCTAAATAGTTGTCTGGTGTTACCAATCGCCGATGCCTTTTCCATCTCCTTTGCCTTTGTCGCCCACCACAGTTCACTGTCGTTACGAAGGCCTCTTGTTAGCTGGCGTCTGAGTAGCTTTCGCTCCTTATCATAATTGGACCTCGCCGGAATCAGACTTCTTGCATCAATCAGTTTGAATAAGGCGGGAGAGATCCATTGGCTCTGATTAACTTTTGGTTTTAGCTTATTAACAGCTTTTACTGATGTGTCTACTGCTAACTGTATGTTGTGCCAGGCTACCTCAGAGGAAGTCCTGCTGTCGACCTCAGACACTCGTTTCGCCATTTCTTCCTTAAATAGGGACTCAGTGTCTCGATGTAGTTGGGGTCGTAACTGTTTCGTTGCCGTCAATTTCTTATGTCCGTTTAGTCGTAAGCATAAACGTGCGCGAACCAGAGCGTGACAGGAGTCTCCGCACGTGTTCCAAAAGGAGCGACAGTCTTGTACTGACCCTCGCCAACGGTACCCTATCGCTCTGTGGTCTATCTGAGTCCAGCGTTGATTTGGGGATGAAGGTCGCAGTGTCTCTCTTTGTGCCTAAAGTTAGTGCTGAATAGGAACATATGGTTATCTGTGCAGAACTGTAGAAGACGACCACCGTTGTCATTTCGCCGGCAGGGAACTCCATACGTACCACCTACATACTTCTCAGTCTGGCACAACTTCCCTACTTGGGTATTGAAGTCGCCTGCTAAAACAACTATTTCTGAATTTTTTGCTTTCCGCAGCAAATTAGACAGTTTCAGGTAAAAGTCATCCTTTAGTTCATCCGAACTGCAGTCTGTTGGGGCGTAAGTGGAGA